GTGTGTGTGTGCTGTGGATATCCTGGATAATATAGTCGGTGAACAGTAGACCTACCGCCACTACAATCACAACCATTTGTATTTATTGTGTGCACTTTGTTCAGCATTCACCGGCAGTTGCTTGCTTCAATTAACTTCCCTAAACCACTCTTCAACACTGCTGAAATAATAATAATAACAACAACAACAACAATGTGGAATCAAGAAAAACAAAATCAGTGCTGTTGATCTAATGTAATTAGCAATGAGTCTCTGTGAGTATTATCGGCAATCATTATATGCAGTAGAAAAGCAGTAGCAATTGCACTTACCTTAGCATCTAATGTGTCTGCGTTTGTGCAATCATTGCACAAGCCCACTTAAAGAAAGGACAAGGACTACTTGCAACGCTGCAGTGCAAGTAGTACCTTAGTACGAGGTGTCAAATCGAACAGACGGCTTGACTACAATGCTTCCCCCTTTGCTATTACATTATTAGTTTTCAGTTGAGGGGAGGGAAGGGAAAAGGTATAAACTCCTACTTGAACTGTTTGAAAGATACTACTACGAGCAGCAGCAGCTGTACCCGAAAGACAGTTTTTCCCCTNTTTCCCCCCTTTTGCTATTACATTATTAGTTTTCAGTTGAGGGGAGGGAAGGGAAAAGGTATAAACTCCTACTTGAACTGTTTGAAAGATACTACTACGAGCAGCAGCAGCTGTACCCGAAAGACAGTTTTTCCCCTCTTCCCCTGATCCCCTTCTTCCCCTCCGTTCTTCGTCTGTCTTCTGCCACTACCGCTGCTTCTGCCCTGTGTCCCCGCTGGTGTGTGGATATGTTGTGATTAGCGCAATGGAGAGGCACACCCAAAAAGACACTACTTTCTGGTGGTGTCTATCTAGGAGGGATAGCGCCAGTGCAAATCTGCACGGTGTGCTGTCTGCCGGTGCTGCTAAGTGCAGTTCGCCAGCAGCAATCCTTAGCTTTGCAGAGAGAGGTGTTGGGGAGAGAGAGAAAGGTGAGCTAGCTAGCTGGTTGGTTACCATCTGATAGCTCTCAATTGGATCGACCTCTCTTTCACCAGTTCTCCTGTCCACTCACTCTTTCTCCCTTTCGATCTCACCTATTACTCACACTCCTTTCACTCCTCTGCCGGCAGCAAGGCAGCAACCAGGATCAGATCATATCACACAGCTCCACCACCACCTTCTTGCACCAGTTTGACTCATAGTTTTCTCTCCCTCTTTTCCTCTTCGACAGTCATTGCGCTACTCGGCCCCGACTGACACCAGCAGTTCGACCACGACGACCACGATCAGCAGCAGGAGCAGGCCAGCCGGCACTGGTGCGGTCATCGTAGAAGAGGCCCTCTTTTCCCCTCTTATTGGCTGTCACTTTGGGCAGGCGACAGTGCAGCAGACAAAACAGCGGCAGCATCGAGAAGCAGCCTGGCAGACGGCCACCAGCGTCCGCCAAGTGCACCACTGCCTACCTCTTCTTCGACTTGGTCCTGGACTTGGATTTATTCTTCCTCTTCTTCTTCTTCCTCAGCTTCATTTTCATCTCTTGATCTGCAGCTATTCACGTTCACAGATATCGTTTTTATCATCAAGAAGAAGAACAACAAAAGCATCAGCAACAACAACATCTCTTCATGGATAGTGTCTCCTTCGAGTGTACTCCCTTTTCCCACTTGTACTCCATCAACACCAACGCCGCCACCATTCACTCGTCCACTTCATCAACACTCTCGCCAGTCTTTACCACGATCACCTCCACCAGCACCAACTCCATCAGCATCACCGCCAACAGTCGAGTTGCCGAAGTAGCAGCAGCCAACTACTCACTCCGATGGCTTTTCGAAAGCGAAATCGCCAGAAAGGTCAGTGGTCTTTCATTCATTCAAACATTCTTTCTTTCTCTTTTGTTCGTTTTCTCCCGGTTCGATCTCTCACTCTCTGCTCATCAACAAGGCACACGACCCGTTTATTCTCCTTTGCTGGTTTTGATTTGAACAACAACAACAACGAGCACACACATACGCATTTCTTAATTACGAAAGTGGACCAATTTGACTACTCGACCAACTGCTGAAGAATGCAGCGTACAACTGTTACAGTCGCCAGCACTGCTGCAACTGCTTTCTTCTATTGATCGACAGCAGCAGGCAATTGGCTGATTGGTTCGATAAATCATTAGCCGTGCTCTATACTCCCCCCTCTCTGTATTCCACCTGTGCTGTGTTCAGTGGACCACTGTCACCTGCTGTTTACCTTTTAGCTGCTGTTTTTGGCGGTGGTAGACTTTCTGCTGTTGCTGGCTGGCCTTTTGCCAAGACCATAAACACAGAGATTGCAAAGCTTGGCTGCTAACCGGTGACCAGGCAGCAGCAGCAATGGCAGCAGCCAAGTGATATCGTCCTCTGGTCGTCGACCATTGTCATGGAAATCATATAAGTCTCTCACTCTCTCCATTAGCTGTAAGGTGTACAAACAGTCTTGGCATTGAACTAGTGAGCGTGTGTACGGCAACGCACACCACCAGCTGTCACTAAAAAAGTCACCGGCGTCTTTATACACTGCTTTGCTGGCCCTTTCTCCGACCACTGGTCACACAATTTGAGTAATTTTAAAGCTCACAAATACACTGCATTTTGTAAAAATTTATCGATTTTCCAAATTTACCAGCTTTGTTTTTGGGTGTCTGCAGCTGTTTCGGGAAATTCATACTACGATAGAGAGTGTCGACGTCGACATCCGTCGTCGGCACCTTTGCTCTGTCCTCATTTTGTCTGCTTCCTTGAAGTTCTTCTGCAGCCATAATTTATTAAGACAAGTACAGACACAGCGAGGAAGAGAGACAGTCACACACACAGAGACAGGCCATTGCAGCAGATTGCCGCGCCCATTGAGCCTTCTGGGGGCCAGCAGCAGCGGAGACACTCTCAGGGCGTCGGTTTGCTAAACTGAAGACACACTCAGGCGGCAGTGTGCTCCAGCACTGGACCAGCGGCACAGTGCGGCACGCAGGGGAAGAAGGCCACAGCAGCGGCAGCAGCAGGCACCAGTAATTGTGCCGATTATTGGCAGGCGGCAGAGTGGTGCTTGTTCCAGTCTAGGCTGCAGTCAGCAACACCACCTGAAACACCTGAAAGACACACTGTGTCTAGTTTGTGGAGGCTCTCTGGTCCACTTTCCTTTCCTGCTTGAAATCTAATTTAATTTGCACACACTGACCTGTGCTCTGAGACGCTCTGAGACACGTCGAGATCACCAGTGACAGTCGGTCGGTGTCTTGCCTCTTTCCCTCTCGTAGTTCAACACCTACCTGACTTTGCTTTCTAGGCCACGCACTCTATTAATTATCTTCTCTAAAGTATTGGCGATCAGTGGGTAAACAAAACAACAACAGCACCAACTAAAAGCAGTGTTTGCTGGAAGGCCAGTTTGTTGGCCTAGTTTTAGGATTTTTTGTTGTTGTATGAAACTGACACTTTTCTTTCCAACTCAATTTCGCAGAAAGTGAACGCACAATTCGAGCCAATGATCCAACGTTCAATGCGCAATTTAAATATGCGGTAAGGGTGACAATTTTCGTTTATGACTAAAAAGATAAATTAGCATTTTAATTTTTAAACTTCAGAAAAATTACATTAAAACGTCCAAGTACACTCTGCTGACCTTCCTACCACTCAATCTCTTTGTGCAATTCCAAAGATTAGCCAATTTCTACTTTCTTATCCTTCTCATATTGCAGGTAATATTCACTTTATTTTTACAAATTAATCCTTTTACTTCAACCCATTCTCTTTTACTTTAATCAGCTCATTCCCATCATCTCCTCGTTGACGCCCGTCACCACAGCAGTGCCTTTAATTTTTGTACTTACTCTGACGGCATTCAAGGATGCTATCGACGATATTGTATGTTTGCTTTAGTTTCTGGTTATTGACCACACCGGTTATTATCACTTTTTCTCCTTTGTAGCAAAAACACCGCAGCGACAGTCAGGTGAATAACCGACTGTCGAGGGTACTGCGCAATGGACAGCTGGTGGAGGAGCGCTGGTACAAGGTCGAAGTGGGCGATGTTGTTCTCATTGAGAATGACAACTTTGTCGCGGTGAGTGGAGGCACTTTCCCCCTCCTTGAGAACATACTAATTTTCTTAATGGCGTTTTTCATAATCGAAATGTTTCGCTTTCTTTCTCTACCACCTGACTGCCAGGCTGACCTTCTTCTGTTGTCCACCAGCGAACCAAACGGACTGTGCTACGTCGAAACTGCCGAACTCGATGGGTAATAGAACTTTTTAATTTAATTTTTTTCAAAAACTTGACCTTTTTTACAGTGAAACAAACCTCAAGTGTCGCCAGGCACTGCCTGAAACTGCCGAACTACAAAATAGTATAGAGCTGCTGTCGCAGTTCAAGGGAGAGATCATCTGCGAAGCGCCGAACAACAATCTGACGCGTTTTGAGGGCACGCTCAAGTGGCGCAACGCCAAGTTCTCGCTGGACAATGAGAAGATGCTGCTGAGAGGGTGTCGATTGCGAAACACCAAGTGGTGCTTTGGGGTGGTCATCTTTGCCGGTCGAGAGACGAAGTTGATGCAGAACAGCGGCAAGACGATCTTCAAGCAGACCAGTCTCGACCGACTGCTGAACCTGCTCATCCTCGGCATTGTCCTGTTCCTCATCATCATGTGCCTCTTCTGCACCATTGCCTGCGGTGTCTGGGAGACACTGACGGGTCAGTACTTTAGGGTGTACCTTCCCTGGGACAGTATCATCCCGCAAAGTCCGGCGAGTGGGGCGGCAGTCATCTCAGTTCTGGTCTTCTTCTCATACGCCATTGTCCTCAACACTGTCGTGCCCATTTCGCTGTACGTCAGCGTAGAGGTGATAAGGTAAAGATCTTTTTGTTCTTTTTTGAGAACAAAGTGTTAACAAAACATCTACCTAGATTTTGCCATTCCCTCTGGATCAACTGGGACGTGAAGATGTACTACGAGCCGACGGACACTGCGGCCAAGGCGCGCACGACGACGTTGAACGAGGAGCTAGGGCAGATTGAGTACATCTTCTCGGACAAGACGGGCACACTGACGCAGAACATCATGACCTTCAACAAGTGCTCCATAGTGGGCGTCCACTACGGGGATGTGCTCAATGAGCGGGGCGAGGTAGTCGAGGTGACTGAGCACACCGTTCCAGTAGACTTCTCCGCCAACGCAATGTACGAGAGCAGCTTTCGCTTCTACGATCAAACCCTGCTGGACGCGGTGAAGAGGGGCGTCCAGCCGGTGCACGAGTTCTTCCGTCTGCTGGCCATCTGCCACACGGTGATGAGCGAGGAGAAGGAGGGCAATCTGGAGTACCAGGCACAGTCACCTGATGAGGCTGCTCTCACCTCGGCGGCAAGGAACTTTGGTTTCGTCTTTAAGGTAAGTCTTCGACTTGTCAAAAACTATTTAATTTTAGTTTTTGGTTCCTTTTTGTCTGACAGTCTCGAACGCCGGCCAGCATCACCACTGAAGAGCTTGGCCAGCAGGAGGAGTATGAGCTGCTGGCGATTCTCGATTTTAACAACGTTCGCAAGCGCATGTCGGTAATTATTAGAAAGGAGGGAAAGATCACCCTGTACTGCAAGGGCGCCGACACGATGATCTTCGAGCGAATGGACCCGGCGCAGACGGCACTGAAGGAGGTGACCACTGAGCACCTGAACAAGTTTGCCAGTGAGGGCCTGCGCACGTTGTGCCTCGCCAAGAAGGACATTGATGAGACCTTCTTTGAGGCATGGAAAGGACGACTGCACGAGGCGAGCACCTCGCTGGACAATCGCGAGGACAAGGTGGACGCTTGCTACGAAGAGATTGAGCAGAAGCTGCAGTTGATTGGCGCCACGGCCATCGAAGACAAACTGCAGGACGGAGTGCCGCAGACGATTGCCAATCTGGCGCTGGCCGGCATCAAACTTTGGGTGCTCACCGGCGACAAACAGGAGACGGCCATCAATATCGGTATTTACTGATTGGTGGTGTGTGTGTGTTGAGTGGTCACTAACAGATGGAGCTTCCAACAGGTTACAGCTGCCAGCTGCTCACCGACGACATGGTGGACGTCTTTGTCATTGAAGGCTGGGAGTTTGAGCAGGTGAAGGCGGAGTTGACCCGCTGTCGGGAGACCATCGCCAACATCGCCACCCGTTCTGCCGCCAACCACGACTGCTCTGTGATAACCTTCCAGCAGACGGAAGATCAGCAGTCGCAGCAGCACTACGGTGGTGGCAAGAATCACGTTGGCGACAACAACAATAATAATGGCACTAGAAATGAGGAGGGAAATGGGGAGTTTGGCGGTTTTGCACTGGTCATCAACGGCCACTCGCTCATACATGCTCTTGACGCAAAGATGGAGTTGCTCTTTCTAGACGTGGCCTCTGCCTGCAAGGCCGTCATCTGCTGTCGAGTGACGCCCCTGCAGAAGGCACTGGTCGTCGATCTAGTCAAACGCCACAAAAAGGCCGTCACGCTGGCCATTGGTGATGGGGCGAATGACGTCAGTATGATCAAGAGTAAGTGATAATGGATGGAGTTTAAAAGTTGTGACAATATTCTAAACATTTTTCACTATAGTGGCTCATATTGGAGTCGGCATCAGTGGACAGGAAGGTATGTCTACTCTTAATGATGATTTGAATTTGGTGAAAATTCTTCACCTCTTTTTTGCAGGAATGCAAGCCGTACTGTCGAGTGACTTTAGCATTGCCCAGTTTCGCTACCTAGAGCGACTTCTCCTCGTTCACGGCCGATGGTCGTATTTTCGAATGTGCAAGTTTCTGCAGTACTTTTTCTACAAAAACTTTGCTTTTACACTGTGCAACCTTTGGTATGCCTTCTTCTGTGGTTTTTCCGCTCANCTTTAGCATTGCCCAGTTTCGCTACCTAGAGCGACTTCTCCTCGTTCACGGCCGATGGTCGTATTTTCGAATGTGCAAGTTTCTGCAGTACTTTTTCTACAAAAACTTTGCTTTTACACTGTGCAACCTTTGGTATGCCTTCTTCTGTGGTTTTTCCGCTCAGGTAAACCTTTTGGCTTTGAAAAATTACCAGACAATCTAAAATCTGACCACCGCCCTTATCTTCAGACCTTATTTGACCCTGCCTTCATATCCTTCTACAACGTCTTCTACACTTCACTGCCAGTTCTGGTTTTGGGCATTTTCGATCAGGACGTCGATGACGTTTTCTCAGTCCGATTTCCATTGCTCTACACGCCCGGTCTGATTGATCTGCTTTTCAATAAGATGGTCTTCCTCAAGAGCGTCGCCCACGGCATCATCACCTCTTTTGTGCTCTTTTTCGTTTCTTATGGTGCGTTCAAAAATGCCGTCGGCCCAGAGGGCATAAACCTTGACGGCCACCAGATCTTTGGCACCGTCGTCTCAACGATACTAGTCATAGTGGTCACTGCTCAGGTAGATGATGATGTTTTAACTTGAATGTTTATAGACTTTATTGACCATTAACCTTTTTCAGATTGCCCTGGACACCTCCTACTGGACGGTTTTCAACCACATTGTCATCTGGGGCTCGATTGCCTTCTACTTTGCGCTGACGCTCTTCATCAACAGCAACTTCATCAACCACCAGTATCTGGGCTGCTTTCGCATGACCCTCTCCAGTGGCCAGTTCTGGTTCACCCTTTTCATCGTCCTCGTCATCCTCCTCTTTCCCGTCGTCGCCGGCCGCTTCTACTCGCTCACCGTCCACCCGACGCTCAGTGACCGCTGTCGAATGAAGCAGCGCTTCCTCCGCAAGAAAGCCCTCACGCAAACCTACGACCCGTACATCAGGCGAAAGAGCAGCGCCTACCGAAGTCGACGCAGTATTCGCTCCGGCTACGCCTTTGCCCACCAGGAGGGCTTCGGCCAGCTGATCACCAGCGGAAAGATCATGAAGAAGGCGCAGATTTACAATTTGCACGTGCCAAATGCCTCCTCCGGCGCCGGCGCCTCTTCCTCAAGCGCACATGATTCGCACCAGGCGAACCAGTCTTCCTCCTCTCGGACGCCTCGTTTCTACAACCAGGGAGGGAAGAGCTCCTCTCGGGTGACGCCAATCAGCTACAACAACACGCCTACCTCGGTAGAGATTGACTGAAGAGTGAACTGAAGTGTGAGAGTTATCCTCTTCTTCCTCATGCCAAAATGCCGCTTTCAACCGTTTGTTGTTGTTGTTGTTGTTGTTGTTGAAGACTCTAAAATCGCACCTGGACCTTTTTAGAAGGTTTTAAAGAGAAGTTTTATTCTTTTCTTACTTTATCTTTCTATTTAATTTTCATTGACATCTCTTCTTCCTTATCATCACCGTTGTACAGTTACTCAAAAGTGCAATAAAAAAGTGCATCTCTACTGAATTGACATGGCACATGTTAGTCTTTGATTGATATTGTATCGCCATTTACATTTGACATGCATATCGAGCAAGCTGTCAACGACTGCATTGGCCTTCATTGAGTTTATATTAAGATAGCAACCAGATAACTTTTTTTCAATAACAACGAGGTTTTTACAAAACCGAACTAAGGATTTGCACGCGACCTGAGTGACTTGAAAAGTAATGCACGAGCCATGCGCAAGACCGATTCAATGGAGAACTATCGTCTTCTCTTTCTCCCCACTGATTTGATGGCTACTGTGATAAGGAGAGATTAAGAGAGTACTAGCAGAGCTGTAGCAGTGACCGACGACTGCTGAACTTCAGGGCACATCAACTGTATCAGCAGGAGCAGTCCAGTGGACAGTTGATGTGAGCTGATGGCGAGCATCTGGAGAAGTGAAGTGAAGGAGGGAGGGGAAAGGGAAAAGAGGAGTCAGTGTCGTAAAAAGTGTGCCCATCATCGACGGCTGCAGTCGTCACCACGATTATCGAAACCCGGACAAGCAGGACTCGCGGCAGNAGTGTGCTCATCATCGACGGCAGCAGTCGTCACCACGATTATCGAAACCCGGACAAGCAGGACTCGCGGCAGCCACCGCTTTTTTACTTGGCAGCCTTACGCTAATAAATCAACACACAAGCGAGGAAGAAAAAACAGAAGAAGAAGCCATCTTCGCGCTTACTTAACTCGGCTACTGAGCAACTGAGCAAGACTGGTTGCTTCGGTTGCTCCGACGACACCGCACACTTCCACTGCTGATGAAGATCTAATGAAGATGATGAAGGATGTGTGCTTGCTGCTTGTGCTCGCTAGCTGGTGGCTCTCTTCAAAGAGTGTCCAGTGACCACTTTGGTGCTAAAGCAGCCAAAGACAGTGTCACCATCATCACCATCAACAGCAGCAGTTCTAGCGCCATCAACACAAATACAGAGGGAAAGAGAGAGAGAGAGAGAGAGAGAGAGAGAGAGAGCTCACAGTCTGTTATTGCCCCCGATTTGCTTGCTTAGCAATTCCCGGGACTCGAAAAAGAGGCAGGCAGGCAGTGAAGACAGACAGTGCTTGCCTTTTCCCTTCTTCTTCATTTTCTTCCTCAGAAGCCCGGACTGCAACTAAACTCAGCTAACCCCATTGTCAGAGAGAGAGTCAAGACGAATGAGAGAGAGAGAGAGAGAGAGAGAGAGAGAGAGAGAGAGAGAGAGANAGAGAGAGAGAGAGAGAGAGAGAGAGAGAGAGAGAGAGAGAAAGGTCGAATGGAGTCAGGCAACAAGTGGCAACAGGACAGTCAAATTTGGTCGAACAGATGTGCTGCTGAGACTTCGAAGACTGAACTGCAACCGAGACAAGTGCCAAACTTCCAAGGGAGAACGATGACAGTGTCAACTTTTTTCCCTTTTGGTCTTTTGCCTCTATTTTCGCTGGCTGGAAGACGACGCGACGACAGCCGCTTTGCACATTACACCACAACCACAACGCCATTAGCGCTGAAGATAGGGGACAGTTTTGTAGTTTCTTCTGCGGACTTTTTTCCTAAAATAAAGTTCATTGCTTTAGCAGCTTAGTGACAGGTCGCACTGACCAAATGCTGCGTTTGCCAGCTAGCAGGCCAGATCTGTGAGCTCTCTAGATTGAATCAAGCTTTCAGTTGAGTCATCGCGCTCTCTGATAGTGAAGAGGAGCAGAGATTACGGCCTTAGCAAACAGTAGCCGAGTTCTGGCCGATGGCGATGATTAGCCCCAACCAACTCACAGGTCACCAGCACCAGCAGCAGCAGCACTACTGTGCCTGTCTTTTTCAATCGATAGCTGCAGTTTTAACAGCAGCAGCAGCATCATCATCATCGAGGCCCAATTGAGGTGAAGAGGGAGGGGAAGGCTCTGCAATCGACTTCTGAAGAGTAATTAAATCAACAGCCACTGCTTGTTGACCATTAGGCAGAGAGGGGATAAAAAGTGAAAGAGAGAGAGAGAGAGAGAAAGATGAGTGGCCTGGTGATGATGATGATGATGGTGGTGGTGGTGGTGGTGGTGTTGGTGCTAAAAGTAAAGAAAAAAATGATGATTGCCCACTGCAGAAAAAGAAGGGCGGAGAGAGATGACTTTTGAGTGGGGACCCCTGACGTGACTTGCACCTTCACTTTATTTTACCTTACCTGACTATACTTTGCTCTTTCTCTCTTTATTTTTCACTATCTTTCCCTCTCCCATTTCACCTCTTCAACAGGTGTGCAGCAATGGTTGCGGTGAGCTGCTGACTTTCCTCTTGTGCTTGGCAGCCACCGTTGAACGCGCCTGTCACCGATCGCCAATAAATAAACACCCTCCAGTGGTGCTTCTGCCAACACACACACTCTCTAATGATGAGTAAAGGTGAAGATGATGATGGTAGTGGTGATGGTGGTGATGGTACTGGCTAAGTAAACAGTACAGACAGGGCACATATACACTGCACCTTGCTTTCAGTGCCCCCAGACACACTGTCGATAATCTTTACCTCCCTTTGAACTAGTGCTGAACTTAACAAGCTACTGAGATGCTAATTCGCACTAACACACCACCACGATTAGCTGCTGCTGCTGTTGATGATGAAGATTACCTTCTTTGCATTTTACCTGTCACCTGTGTTGAAGCTCAGCGTACGCGCTCGCACACACACACACACACATAAATCTCTGTGCACTCAAGCAAAGGTGAGAAATTCAGATCGGCAATGGAAGCATCAGTAAAAAGAGCAGCAACAGGTGGCTGTTCGTTTGTTTTTACTACTAGTCAAACTGAAANAGATCGGCAATGGAAGCATCAGTAAAAACAGCAGCAACAGGTGGCTGTTCGTTTGTTTTTACTACTAGTCAAACTGAAAACTGCCAATATCGGCCTCGGCAACCTTCTTCTTCGTTTTTGTTTTTTCTGCATCATTTTCTCCTCCACACCTGCAGTGACTGCTGTTGCTAAGCTGCCACTGACTTCACTTTGCTAATTGGACTTTCTCAGTCTCTCCCCCGATTCCAAACACACACTCACACTCACACACTCTCACAGTGAGCACAGATTGCAACCGTCCAGGTCGAGAATTGACGCTGTGTGTTGCTGATGTTGCTGCAGTGGCTGAACTTCGACACTGCACAGTTTGCCCTTGCAGGTGCCACTTTTTCCTTCCATCGAATGCAGCGCCAGTGAGTGTGTGTGCATCGCACATTTCCATGGATCAAGCGACTCAAAAATGGCACTACAAACTGCCCGTTACGGTGGCTAACTTTTCTGTGTTACTGCTGAAGGTTGCTGTCGCTGCTTTAGTTGAATTCACACTGACAGTCGGTTGAAAAAAGATTCTACAAGATTACTGCCAGTCGTTTTCCTCTGAAAAACGGCAGCAGCAACAACAACAACAGCAGCATTTTGAAGACCACTTTCGAGCTATCACATGACATTGAGAAGGAGGCTTACTACAGACTTGCTAACTCACTGCCACCATCATCACCACCACAACTGCCATAGCTGCACTATCAATTGCAAACAACAAAAATCAGGCCTCTCTTTCGACACCGATGTTAGATGAGAATGAGAATAAGAAGTGTGTAGACTTTAAAGAAAGTAGAGTGCCAAAGGGGCAATTAGAGCTTGATGGTTGTGTGTGGAGTAGAGTGGTGCGAGTAAAAGAGTCAGTTAGTCAGTAAGTGAGTAGTAAAGAGGCACCCAGGGAAAAAGGGCTTCGAGTGATTGGCACTGACCTAGTGAAGTGCGCTCTGTGTCGATCTCTATTACACTACCACTTCACTAATCGACTCACTAACTAGGCAATCCTTTCTGCCTAACTGCAGTGATGACCTCCAAATACACACACTGCGACTTCACGTTCAGACACTGCTGATCAAGACCACTGTCTACTGCATGATCCCACCATGATCATGACTCATCGCCCACTGCCTAGGGCCCCTGAGTCTCACTCCAATTTACGACGTTTCGTTTTCAGCAGGTAGAAACTGTCACAGACCGAGACACAACACTAACTATTGTGTTGCTGTGTCGTTTGCNTGCCCACTGCCTAGGGCCCCTGAGTCTCACTCCAATTTACGACGTTTCGTTTTCAGCAGGTAGAAATTGTCACAGACCGAGACACAACACTGACTATTGTGTTGCTGTGTCGTTTGCTTTCTTTTATTATTATTCTTCTCCCTTCCCTTTCACCTTGCTGCAGATTCATCTCACTCAATTGTGTCTGCATGTGTGTGTGTATTGTTGCAATGGTTGGGGCTCTTGCAACTCTTGAGCAGAAAGAGAGGAGAGAGAAAACCCGCGCTCACTTCGATTTCTTCTCCTTGAGCACTGGCCGTCCGGGACCACAATTAGACTGACCAGGACCAGAGAGTAGTGCTGGCAGTAGTGCTCTAACAGTGTTGCTGATGGCCAAGTGTGCAGTGTGCACTGAGAAGAGCTAGCAAGTGGAAAACTCCTCCACTGCACTCTTCTGCCCGTCCACTGCAGCGGCACTGCTCCACCTTCTTCAGCAGCAAGTGCAGCAGCCAAACAGCACCACATGGTAGCTGCC